CACAAACTCGACAATACTCGTCTCCGCTTTTTTGTAACACTTTTAACAAGTGTACGGTCTAATGCCATGTGGCCATATAATATTATTCGGTTTATTTTACTATAAAGCAGGGGTCTTCAAACCATGGGTCGCGACCCAATTGGGTCGCTAGCACACCCTCGAAGGGCGCAAGGTTTGTCTTGGGTCGCATGGGTCGCAATGCTTGTCTAGGGTCGCGAACTTACACTAGTAAACTTTACAAGACGAGAGATCAAGTGATAAGATGCACATATTTACATATGAATATTTCCTTGCGAAATTTGCGATTATAATGTTTTTTTCACGATTATTATGAAGCACTCAAGCGCTAGATTGCTAGAATAATACGGTAAACAGGTAAACTGGTAAAGCTTTAGATATAATACCTTTTACTTCATGTAACTCAAACATTATGGCTTAGCACCACTCGGTGCGCCTTCGGCGCACGTCGTCTTCCGAAGTAGAGTCGTCGTTATACACTCGGAAGCTTTCGGTGAAAAGCCATAATGTTTTTAATTAGCGAAAGTTTTATTTGCATTTGATCATTTTGATGTTATGAAAATATATTGAAGGTAAATTAATTGACCTATTTTACTTCTCAGCCCCCTGTGGCTGCATAGCAGTTTATTAACCCTTCTTTCCCGTGAAGTCAAGACATGGTTGAGTGATTGGGACGGATTAATAAGATGCCTCCTAAACGCAGCATCGTGCCCAGTTGGCTGGGTAAGTACGGTGTGAAAGAAGTCAATGGGCGGGCGTTATGTGTAATAATGTTTCAGCACTCGACTATATTCTTGATTCAAATTTTGGCAGTGTTCAGGGTCGCGGGACACCTATGAAGCTTGGGTTTGGGTCGCCGAAAAAAAGGAGTGAAGACCCCTGCTATAAAGACTCGCTAATTTTAATTTTTTGTTTTGAAATTGACACATTCTGTCGCAATTTCCATCGCTCAAATGTTCGGTTGAACATGGCCCAAATCATCATCAGTCAAAAATAAATACGTGTCCTATTGGCTAACGTTTGATTGACATGTGACAGTTAAACAGTAAAAGCCATATAAGTGTTCCAGAGGTTCTTCCCGCTTGCCGGCAATTGATAAAACTAGAATAGTGAAGCGAATAGTCGACGAATAGTACGAATAGTCCGCGAATAGTCGACGAATAGTGCGAATAGTCCGCGAATAGTCGACGAATAGTACGAATAGTCCGCGAATAGGCGACGAATAGTACGAATAGTCGACGAATAGTGCAATAGAGACTTTGCAAGGCTTTGCAGCAGTGCTGTAGAACTAAATTTACCGGGGGGGGGGAGGTGGCTCTGTTGACAAACATGAAATCGTGAAAACATTCGTCGACGTACGTCAATGACGTCATACGTAATCGGTAAAAATTACGGGAACCACTGAGTATTTTAATAAAATATAAAACAACGGTAACTTCGAAAATAAACATTTTAATATTGTAGCTTTCCCGCTGGTCATATTCAGCAAATTTTCTCCAAGTACCGCAGGCTCGCATTTTCAGCGGATTTGTTGTGAAAAATTGAAACTTTTGCATTTTGCACAGAACTGCCCACTTTCTGTAAGATGTCCGCTGACAATACGAGCCCGCACGAGTGGGAGAAATTTTGCTAAATTTGACCAACGTGTTTCGACTAAAATTCAGTCATCGTCAGGAAATATATTTCATATTTTTTAAATTTATAATCATTCCTGATGGTAAGTGGTAACCATATGAGCGAGTCATGAATTTTACTGATGGAATTTTATAGGAATTTTACTTGTAAGTTGTGACGTTGTAACTGAAGATTTAAGGGCTTAAGTGATTTCGTGTGCTTGGAAAACGTGATTTACATCACGAAACAAGAGAAGGTATCGATTTATTATTTAAGCCCGTTTTTGGGCGAATTTGTTCGGGCGACGCGAAAACCAAATTTCGGCAATGTGATTGGTCAGCGACAAAATTCGCCGCGAAAAAGTTGGATCCGCCAAAACGTCATTCTAGTGATTGTCATTCTACTTCCTGTTAAATATTTGTTAAAACTCAGTGGTCCC